TTCCAAAAGTATGAGTGGCATCAGTCGCAGCAGCCAGCGGCCACATGCTACAATGTCACCTTGGCCGCACTCCTGCTGACACATGGTGGCTGCTGACAGCAGTGTCTGTTTGGGCGGGGCTGTGCCTGAGCAGGGACCAGGAAGACATTGGTGAAAAAAGCCCAAACAAGTTTGAAGAAGTAATTAGCATACTCCAGGGTGGTGGTGGCTGATTTTAGACACAGGGCCCCGCAGGGAGCCACTGTGGTCTGATTGCCCAAGCTGCGCTGCAAGGGGTGGCACAGGATCAAGAGCCCAGCCAATCTGGGTGCCCCAACTGGTCCTCTGGGCCCTGGGTGTCTTTTCTTGCTCTACTTTGTTTGCAAATTTAGGTAAAATGTCTATGCCTTGGGTCCTTGTAAAATTAATTCCCTTTGCAAAATAGTTTGAGATTCTCAGTACTGAGTTACACTTGATCCATCTCTACTAGAACCACCATCTACTCGGGCAGCCAGCAGCAATTTGTTCTCTTTTTGCAAGCAGCGGGATCCCAGAATCCTCACATCTGCACGACACCACCCTTACCTGCATTCCCAGGGCCCCCGCTGGCTTCTTAGGACTTTCTTTCATGAAGAAGCTTAAGAAGAAAAGAAAGCCTGCTATTTAAATTATCTGATGCTTCCTTTGCCAAAGATTTCAGAAAACTGTGGGAAACGAGCCTTCGGGTGCCAAGTTTCGGAGTGAGGAGAACACTCTTTCTGAGTGGTTTCAATTGTCTGCCGTAATAAATGATGAATTTCCCCATTACGTTACATTAAAGGGATTAAAATGATACCACCTTCCTTTTATATCCAATTTTATGAGTCACTTGCATGATGGGGTGTCATGAGTAGTAAAATGGACCAGGCCGTTTAAATAAACCACGCCCCTGCTGCGGGCTCCTGTGTGATGGGAGATCCTGTTAGGATCCTGTTAGCCTTTCCTCTTCACTGGGGGGTGGGCTGCCTGCTGAAACAGGGACCCTGGGGCTAGCACTGTGGCATAGCAGGCTAAGCCTAGGCATGAGGTGCCGGCATCCCATATGGGCACCAGTTTGAGACTCGGCTGCTCCCCTTCCGATCCAGCTCTCTGCTGTGGCCTGGGAGAGCAGTGGAAGATGCCCAAGTCCTTGGGCCCCTGCACCCATGTGGGAGACCCGGAAGTTCCTGGCTCCTGGCTGAGGCCTGGCCCAGCCCTAGCCTTTGCAGCCATTTGGGGAGTGAACCAGTGAATGGAAGATCTCTCTCTCTCTTTCTCTTTGTCTCTCTCTGTCTCTCCTCCTTTCTCTATAACACTGCCTCTGTGCCTTTAAAAACAAATAAAAAATAAATCTTCAAAAAACCAGGGACCTCAGCACCCCTGATGGGGCCATGGGCAGCTGGGGAGCTGTGTTTTGCTTGCTGGGGGTGGTGAAGAACGAGCCGTCATCTCACAGCCGCAGGTTACTGTTCCTTGTGCTGCTGGAACAAACTGGGTGGCTTGGGACAACAGCAATGAACGCTCTCACAGCTCCAGAGGTCAAAGTCTGAAATCCAGATGGCAGGAAGGCCCTGAGCCCTTCAATTGCCAGGGGCCATCTGTTTCAGGCCTCTCCCAGCTGCTGTAGACCCTTGGCCTGTGGCAGCATCACTTTTTTTTAAGATTTATTCATTTATTTGAAAGAGTTACAGAAAGAAGTAGAGACAGAGAGGAAGAGAGGTCTTCCATCTGCTGATTCACTCCCGAGATGGCCTCAATGACCAGGGCTGGGCCAGGCTGAAGCCAGGAGCCAGGAGATTCTTCCGGGTCTATCACACGGGTGCAGGGGCCCAAGGACTTGGACCATCCTCTGCTGCTTTCCCAGGTGCATTAGCAGGGAGCTGGATCAGAAGAGGAGCAGCTGGGTCTCGAACCAGCACCCATAAGGGATGCCGGCGCTGCAGGCCAGGGCTTTAACCCACTGCGCCACAGCACCAGCCCTGGCAGCATCACTTCAGTCTTCGTGTGGTGCTCCCCTGTGTGCACGCCTATGTCTAAGTTCCTCCAGGGTGCTAGAAGAGCAATCATACTCGACGGGGGCCCAGCACAGCACAGCAGGACCTCATCACACCCCAAGAACACTATTCTCAAGCAAGGCCACATTCTGAGGTGTGCTTTTAATCACCGGACTCCATTACCCAGAGATTATTACTGCTGGTTTGTTTCTGTATATTTCATTTCTGTTTTTTCCCTGTGCATCTGTAGATTGATAGATGGTAGAGAAATTTACAGAAAATCACTGATATTAACACTACAGTTTCACATCCTGCTGCTCCCAGTTAAGGTGCTGTATGCATATTTCTCTGTGTCATTTAAAATTCTTATACATGTTGTATTCAACCGCTGCCCAATAGCACATGGTTTGGATTTTTAAAATACTTTTATGAACTAGTATGAACCAGCCCCTTATGGGAATCTTAGGTTTGTTTTGCAATTAGGAAAACATAAATATTTGGTTACTTTTGGTTAGGATTTTACAAGTGGGATTACGGGGTTAAAGGGCGTGGGCATTTGGAAGGATTTTTTTTTTTTTTTTTTTTTTTTTTTTTTTTTGACAGGCAGAGTTAGACAGTGAGAGAGAGAGAGAGAGAAAGGTCTCCCTTTTCCATTGGTTCACTCCCCAAATGGCCGCCAATCCACAACCAGGAGCCAGGAGCTTCTTCCTGGCCTCCCATGCGGGTGCAGGGCCCAAGCACTTGGGCCATCCTCCACTGCCCTCCCGGGCGACAGCAGAGAGCTGGACTGGAAGAGGAGCAACCGGAACAGAATCTGATGCCCCGACCCGGACTAGAACCCAGGGTGACGGTGCCGCAGGCAGAGGATTAGTCAAGTGAGCAGCGGCGCCGGCCAAGGAAGGATCTTAATAAATACTGCTAATCACCTGCAAATCCTTCAGCATCCCAGTGAGGGCTCCTGTGTGTCCCACAGCTGCCCAGTGTATGGATGCCCTGGTTTGGAGGGGATATAGCACCAACCGTCCCGTATTTTTTACATCACTATGCCCACAATAGCTGAATCCCCCTTTTATTCAAATGTTTTTGTTCTTTTCTTACTGCTGCTGGAGAAGCCAGTGAATTTAAGGTCAAGAACCCAGAAGAGAGAAAGCACTGCCAGAACTTAACTATCTTTTTTTTTCCCCTAAATAAACGCAACCCCTAACAGGAAGGGGATGAAATGAACAAAGCTGAGAACGGCTCACACGTGCTCCCAGCAGACCATGAATAAAAGCTGCAGGACACAGGCACTTAGCGTCACAGGATCATTATTTCACGAGCCAGGAAACTGGGCCATGTCGGTGGAAATGCGGACCGAATCAGAGTCCAGGTTGATCTCGAGGCCACTTCTGGAAAAGCCAGCGTTCGCAGGATCCAGACTCCCCTGAGCGACCTGGCAAACTTCTCCAGCTGACTCGCTCTATGAATTCGTTGCATTCATTTTTTACTCTAAAAAATATTTTTTACAATGCAAAAAAGGTGCATCCACAACCCAGCTCGTGAAATAAAACCTTCCCATGTGCGGGTCCTGTGCTCTCTCTGTACATGCTCCTCTCCACCTTCACGCCCCTGGCCTCGGAAACAATTGTTCTACCTTACAGTTCATCGTTCCCATGTAGAACAGTACTTCAAAAAGCTTAAGGAAAACAGAATTAGAAGATAATTTTATTTTGTGCAAAAAAATCATTCTTGAACTCCATGCATAGTTTTTTCCCAAGATGCATCTCCCATGAACTTTTTGCAGACCTCATATGCATAGATTCCAAATGTTCTTGCACCAAAATAAACTTACCTTTAATGCCCACCCCCCATGAACTTGATGAAGCAGCCTGCATTTCTGTATGCTTTGCCGCGTATGTATGTAGCCCTAAGCAACACACCACATTGCATTTCAGGAGTTTTAACTCCTGTAAGCATACTTCGTGCATCCTTCTGCAATCTGCAGAACCCAAACCCGCCGTTTGTTCTCCCTACACCAGTGAAACCATTGTCACTGTCCTCAGTGTCACCGGTGCCAATCAGTGGGGTGTCCTGGGTGGCACCGGCCACTGGTTTCTGCATCAGGCCAATTCAGTGAGGTGCTTTTGGGTCTCTTCCCTGTTCCAGGAGCTCTTGTCCAGGTCTTTTTTAAAAAAATTTATTTGGGGCCAGCACCGTGGCTCACTTGGTTAATCCTCTGCCTGAGGTGCCATATGGGCGCCGGATTCTGTCCCGGCTGCTCCTCTTCCAGTCCAGCTCTCTGCTGTGGCCCGGGAGGGCAGTGGAGGATGGCCCAAGTGCTTGGGCCCTGCACCCGCATGGGAGACCAGGAGGAAGCACCTGGCTTCTGGCTTCGGATCAGCACAGCGCGCCGGCCGTAGTGGACATTTGGGGGGGTGAACCAGCAGAAGGAAGACCTTTCTCTCTGTCTCTCTCACTAACTCTGCCTGTCAAAAATAAAATAATAAAAAAAGAGGGTTGTTTATTTATTGGAAAGGCAGAGCTACAGAGAGGGAGAGGAGGAGAGGAGGAGAGAGAGAATCTTCCATCTGCTAGTTCACTCCCTAGATGCCCATAACACCCAGAGTGGGGCAGGATGAAACCAGGAGCCAAGAACTCCATTCAGGGCTCCCCCTTGGGTGGCAGGGACCCAAGTACTTGAGCCATCACGTCTGCCTCCCAGAGGCCCATTAGCAGAAAGCTGGACTGCAAGTGCAGTCAGGACTTGGCTGCGGGCACTCTGACAAGGGATGCCGGTGCCCCGCGTGGTGGTGTTTAAGGAGGGAAATCTGACATCATGGTTGTACACTCACGGGAGTCGCCCAGTGCAGAGGAGAGAGCAGATAATCACAGGAGCCGTGTTTCCCAGGAGGGTGGGAGCGGGCGGGACGTGTGTGTGTGTGGAGGGGGAGCAGTCCTGCGTGGGGGAAGCACAAGGACAGGGGGACGGGACTGCCAAGAAGTTCCGATGCCTTCTATTTTCTTGTCTAGGAAAGAGGAAGCAAGGTCAATGGCCGGTCACTGAGAAGAGAAGTGGGGCATCGAAAGCTTGAGCACAAGAAACAGGAATGACAGATTGCAAAGGTTTTGACTTGTTAAAAATGTCTTATTTTTAATATCGTAATAAAAAATCAAATAAACATGTGCCTTCAAATGTTGACCTGTGAAGAAAAGCAGGCTCCACGCGAGGGATCCCGCTTGCTCCGGGAAGGAGCCGCTGCTCTCCCAGGACCATTTCTCTGCAGAGTCTGAGAAACTCCCAGACTGCTTCCTGTCCTACCGTCCTCAGAAACAGAGGTAGCACCACAGCCAGCGTGTGCAGTATTGCTTCCGACGGGCCTCAGGGCAGTGAGACAGGAGCCTTCTGCAGCCAAGGGAAGCCCTTCCCCCACCACAAGACACTGGCAGGTGCTGCATTTAGGCGAAAGCCACCGTCGGCAGCAGCACTCTTAGGGGTCGGCCGCGCGATAACTCCGGATGTACGGGGAGCACTGATTAGCCTTCCAGCTTCAGGGCCTGGAATCCAGGCACCGTGGGTGTTTCAAAACCACGGTACTGCAACTTGCCGCCCACGCTGGCCACCTCACTTCACCCAGTGCCTTTGCACACTGGCCGGGGGGTGCAATGTTGATATTCCCCTGGCTGAAGCTGCTGCTACAGGATGGGGAGAGGCTTCAGACTTCCGGCAGCCGCTGCTCTGCCCAGTCATTTGATAGTGCAATACATAAGTAAATTTGATTTGCAAACTTATTTTCAGCACAAAATTGGCCAGGGGAGCCGCCAATTTTCTCTTTGGCCCCTTTTCCCAAATCACGCGTCTGATGCTCTCGTAGCAAGCCCCGACAAGAGGATAAACGTGCCAATAATTTGTTCGATTTCATATGAGACGATTATCGACCCTCTCCCAGCCCAGCCGGAGTTCCCCCGGAGCTGGTCTCATTTCTTGACGGACCCCTGTGCCTGCTGATTTGTTAACTGAGTTACACCGGGGCCAGAACACCAGAACCCAGCCGTACGGAGTGAGAAAGTGAGAGCCGTGAAGGATAACCCAAAGGCGACCCTGATGACAGGAAGTCACTCGGAGGGCGACGCCACATCAGCCTGCGAGCTGCAGCGCTCACGGAGCCGGAGCCGCCGGCAGCAGGACCGCGGGTCACTTCCGAGCAGTGACCCCGCGCCCTGGCTCCTCTCCCGGTAGTCCCTCCTCTGTCGCCCAGCACGGCCATCGAGACGCAGGGCTCTGTGACTCAGCTGTCACGACCTCTCCGGGCAAGGTCCCCTTCGTGTTTTGCGGGCCAGGGCAGCCAATCTGCATGCACAGTCCTTATCAGCCAAGCAGAGGGCCAGCAGCTGCCACTTCCCAGGGAAGCCAGGAGTCCCCGGGTCAGCAGGGAAGGGCTTCCTGCGAGGACACCACGTGTAAAGTCCTCTGGGACGACAGGCATTCGGAGGATGTGAGTTATCACGGCAAAGCTCTCCCGGGCTTCTCCGACTTGATATAAATAACCGTGTCCTGGCGGCAGCTGGAGGAGAGCCAATCGGTAATGAATACTAGCACAAACAAACAGGCCTCCGGGACGCCGGCCCAGCCACGGCAAACCGCGGCTGGCATCTGCTCCGAGGTGCTGGGTGGGCGAGGCTGCGCCCACAGCACTGCATTCATCGCGGGAGGCAACGGGGGAGGGGCGCGGGAGTGGAGAATCCCGCCCCCGGCTGGGACAGCGTCCTCTGGTCCTCAGCCTAAGCAAACCCAAGTCCTCGCTGGATAAAAGCTTCCTGCTCTGAGGCCCTCGAGGTCCCCACAAATTCAGATCAATGAAATGAGTTCAGAATCAAGGAACATGGAAAAGCTGCAAGCCATGATGGGTGAGACTCGGCAAGAAAATGAACAACAAAATTAGTCCCCGCTCCCTCCGGTAATACCTAGACTCAAAATGTAAAGCAATGGGGCTGGCGTTGTGGTGTAGCCGGTAAAGCCATCGCCCGTAACACCAGCATCCCATATGGGCGCTGGGTTGAGTCCTGGCTGCTCCACTTTGATCTGGCTCCCTGTTTATGTGCCTGGAAGAGCAGCAGAAGATGGCCCAAGTTCTTGGCCCCTGCCACCCACCTGGGAAGACCCAGAGGAAGCTCCTGGCTCCTGGCTTCAGACCTGTGCAACTCTGGCCGTTGCGGCCAATTGGAGAGTGAACCAGAGGATGGAATATCTCTTTATCTCTCTGTATCTCCTTCTCTGTGTAACTCTGACTTTCAAATAAATAAATCAATCTTTGTTTTAAAAAAGTTCATAGCGAAGCAAGCATTTGGCTTATCATTTTTTTTAAGATTTATTTATTTATTTGAAAGTCAGAGTTACACAGAGAGAGGAGAGGGAGAGAGAGAAAGAGAAAGAGGTCTTCCATCTGCTAATTCACTCCCCAGTTAGCTGCAACGGCCGGTAATGTGCTGATCTGAAGCCAGAAGCCAGGAGCTTCTTCCAGGTCTCCCATGCGGGTGCAGGGGCCCAAAGATTTGGGCCATCCTCCACTGCTTTCCTAGGCCATTAGCAGAGAGCTGGATTGAAATCAGAGCAGCCGGGACCCAAACTGGCGCCCATATGGGATGCCGGCACGGCAGGCGGTGGCTTTATCCATTATGCCACAGCGCTGGCCCCTTGGCTTATCATTGAAGACGTGGTTTGAGATGCTCACATCCCGTATCGGAGGGCTTAGGTCTGAGTCCTGACTCCACTTCCTGATTCCAGCTGCCTGCTAACGTGCACCCTGGGAAGCGCAGGTACTGGTTCCCACCCACTTGGGAGACGTGGACTGAGTTTCCGCTCCCAGCTCCAACCTGGCCCAGCCCTGGCCACTGCAGGCATTTGGAGAATGAATCAGTGGTAGGAGCACTGTCACACAGTGCTCACCATCTCTTTCTACTTCTTGCTCTCTGCAACTCTGCCTTTCAAATAAATAAAATAAATCTTAAAAAAAAAATATCTGGGGGACCGGCGCTATGGTGGCCTGAGGCACCAGCATCCCATATGGGCACCAGTTCGAGACCCAGCTGCTCCACTTCCAATCCAGCTCTCTGCTATGGCCTGGGAAAGCAGTAGAAGATGGCCCAAGTCCTTGGGCCCCTGCACCCACATGAGAGACCCGGAAGAAGTTCCTGGCTCCTGGCTTCAGATCGGTGCAGCCAATTGGGGAGTGAACCAGCAGATGGAAGACCTCTCTCTCTCTCTCTCTCTCTCTCTCTCTCTGCCTCTCCTTCTCTCTGTGTAACTCTGATTTTCAAATAAATAAATAAATTTCAAATAAATTTTCAAATAAATAAATAAAATCTTATAAGTCCGAGGGTCTCAGAGATAGGAGGGCAGGTTGTGGGAGGCTCTGTAGGGTCACAGAAGATGAACAAGAGCTCAGTCACCCTGGAGGAGCTCACCTGCACCCGGTGGCTGCGGATTCAACTTAGAATTTACTTGTAAAATACATCTCGCAAGCACCCTCACAGCTCCTGTACCTAGCTGGCTCTCCACTCATGGTGTACTAGGCTATTCTTTCATGCCTTCGCCAGGAGCTCCTGGAGGTCACTGGCCAAGCCACAATCAAACAATGTGATGCTCAATGCATTGAACTTCCTACTAAATCCCGCCCTCTTATTGCAGGACCATGCTAAACAGTGACAGCAGTGAGTCTTCTGCGGCTGTTATCAGGTTTCGCTGCTGAGTGTGCAATCGATATTTTAGTAATTATGTGCAAATAGTCCCCATTATCCATCAAAGTTGTTACGACTGTCTCGAGCTTGGGCGCTGGTGACAAAGCCCTCCTTCAGATGCTGTGCTGTGGCCCGGAGTCGGCCGCCTTGGTCAGCGCTCAGCACCCTTCTCAGAGGAAGCTGCCCACTGGGTGCAGTGGCACTTTCTCACTAAGAAGGGCAGATGCGACCCCACCCCCAGCACAGCTGGGCTAAACCTTAAGTGCATGGTTCATCAGTGGGTGAATGAGGCCTCCATCCCTAAATGCCACGAGAGGCTGTGATATTTTTTCTAGGTTGCACCACCTCTTCCGCAAAAGTCTCCAAGGAGTTACTGGGACCTAAGGTTGCTCAACTTAAAGAAAATCCCTCTTTCTTCAAGGTTCAAGGGCATCACAGCAAAGCCAGCGCTGAAGCCGGAGCAGCCACCCATGCACCTGCAGCACCATCACAGGCATCACAGTTCTCGTTAGACTAATGCTGGCCTCAGGTGGCGGGGGGGGGGGGCACTCTGTGAACCTCAGTTACTAAGGAGGCAGTGCCCTGGGAAGGAGAGTGTGGAGACAGCGGAGCCGGGATGCAGTCTTGTAGCCTCGGCTGGAGACTGACCAGAGCCCCGAACGCAGACTGCACCTGGGAGTGGTCCCAGGTTGCCACAGGGGCCTGCGCTACTGTAGCCCTGGCATTTGCCCCCAGCCAGCAGCCTGCAGGGGCAGACTGTTTCCAAGGGTGGGTGGAACCCCCAGCAGGGCGCTCCTGTCCACCAGGGCAGTTCTCCAGCATAGTGGCTCTAAGTCTACGGCAGCCAGCACTCACAGCAGTGGGGGGACCTGGCCGGGCGCCCACGGCAGTCAGCTCACACCCTGGGAGATCCAGGCTAAGTCAAGACAGCTTAGCCGACAAGGAAGAAGGAGGCGCAACACCTACCTACTTCCCTCCTTTCCCACGGGGAGTAGGCTCACTTCACTGCACACCGAGATAAAGCAGTTCTTTGTGTATGACAAGGAATTCTACAGCCTAAAATCGCAGTGAAGTCCTGTCCTGTCTCAACCAGGTGGCTCAGCCAAGCTTGCTCAAAGCCTGCCAATAGACATCAGGGGCCCCGTCTCTGGTGAGGGCCCCACCTCCAGGAGCCCCTGGCATCTCTCTGCCAGAGGCTCCATCCCCACCGGGTGGAAGACAGCTCTGTTACTTAGCCCAGAGTTCCCATAATCACCTTTCTTTTCCTGCCAAAGCAATTTCAACTCACGGAACCTGTACCACGTAGGCAAGAGAATCCAGACATAGTCAAGAGCAACGAGAGATTCTGTGATGGGAAACCCACGGCCAGGAGCCAGCCCCTGCAAGAAGCCTGTTTTCTAATTAGAGAGAATTGTCACCATTGGCCCAGCAGACAAGCAAGGCTTTGATCTGACTTCTTAAAATGAAAAGAGAAAATATTACTCACCCCTGCATCTCATCTTAACTTGGCATCTGCTAATACCTTCCACAAGGCCTTTGCTTTCAACTGAGCCCAGATGTTATCAGAGGCTTACTAACTGCTCTTTGTTTTTATATAAAATTTCATTTATTTTAAAGGCCGGGGGGGGTGTCAATTTTCCATCTGCTGGTTAACTCCCCCAATGCTCACAAGAGCCCGGCCTGGACTAGGCCAAAGCCAGAAACCAGGAGCTCACCCTGGGTCTCCCAAGTGGGTGGAAGGAATCCAAGGACTTCAGCCATCACTTGCTGTCCCCAAAGGTGTACATTAGCAGGACGCCGGAGCCCAGACTAAAGGACTTGGCAAAGTTCAGGCACTCCGATATGGAATGCAGGCGGCCTAAGCTGTGCCAAACGCCCACCTGTTAGCTACCCTTTGGAGACCAGTGTGTCCGGTGTTTCCCCATGAACTGGACCCAGCAGTATCCCCACTGGACTTGGCAGCTCATCCATCACACCTGCCAAACTCACACAGGTCGGGACGAGAAACCTGCTCACGCTACTCCCTGCTCGCCTTTGATTCAAAATAAATGAAAACTCCGAGACGAAGATTCCAGCAGGAAATGAAAACACAATCCTAATTAACCAAAAGAACTAGTCATTTACCCCCTGGAGGCAGGAGCAGCTCATGCCTCTTTCTGAATCAGGGCTCTGAATAAAAGACGCACGCGCTAGATGTACGCGAAAGCCGCCCCTCGACAGATGACTAATGGCTGCTGTGCTGTCTTGTGCTTTCTGTTAAGCCCACAGAGATAATTGTTTACTCAATAAAATTTAAACTGTTGTCACAGCTTAATTGGAAGCCAAGGGTAGCTGCCCTCAGAGCTGCAGCTGACACGGCATGTCATGGGCGACAGTTACTCCTTTGCTTCCCAGGCTCCCTGACAGCCCATGGAGGGAAATCCTGGAGGCCGCCTCCTTTGCAGTCTCCCTGGAGGTGCTCCTTAGAATCTCTCTCCCCGCCTCACCCGCCACCCCTTACCTCTACCCAATCCGTTTCCTCCCGTCCCCCAGGAAAAGAGCCGCTTTGCATGTTTACTCTTTGTCGGAGGAGGAGGCTGGCCATCCTAAGTTCTGTTCTTTGTCATTTTTGAACTCGTAAGGGCCTGGAGCGTTTTGGACCATCCAAGAGAACCACTGGGCACCTGTCCATTGCTCTGAGGGTAAAATCAAGCACTGCCAGTGATCGCTGGGGGCTGTGTAATGACCACGCGTGGTCTGCCCATCATCATGGCGCTGAGGTGGCCAAGGGACGACTCCCCAGCTCAGAGCAGCCAGAAGAGCTGGACCCAGAGAAGGCCACGGTCACCTCCTGCGGGGCTCCCGAGCACTGTGCCCAGGCTGCATCACACCCTTCTCAAGCAGCTGCGCGGGAATCAACAAAGCCCAAGTTTGGTGCAGACTGTGAGAAGGCGAAGTGGCCCTAAAGAACCCATTGGGTAGGTGGCCGCGGGCTGCCACGTTCTAGCTCCAGGATGGGTGGCACAGTCTTCCAGGACGGAGACAGGAACAGGCACAGGTTTTGATGGGCCTGGGCCGGCTGGTCCTTGTGTGGCACCACATGGGCTCTTGCCTTTCTTGGAAACTGTCACCCGCACCTCACTGCCTCGTCTTCTACCCAGACCCCGCCTTCCTGCAGCTACCTGTGTCCCCGGGGTCAGCTGGCCATCCCCGGGCTCCACAGCACCCGAGTCCTTCTTAAACGGTTCTAAGGAAACAAGAGGCAAATGTGCTGGTCACAAGAGGGCGTGGCCCCAGACAGGAAGGTAGGAGACGTGCAACTCCAGGACGCGGGGAGCACTGCTCTGCCTGCCCCCTTTCACTTTGCTTCCATTGCTTCTCCCACTCCTGTTCTGTCCAGACGCCGGGCCCTGGGAAGCACAAGGAGTCCAGATGACTTCTGTCTGGAACATCTCAGTTCTCAGAAAAGGGCTTTTCCCCTGCTTGTCAAAGAGGACGATGCTGTGAGGTGTAAATTCGCTAACGAGGACTCCTCTACTGATGTCCCTCTGAAGGGGACAAAGGCTCAGGGACCCCCTGGTCTTTTAGCTTTATGAAAACCTAAGCATAGGTTGCTAATGCTTCCTACTATTTTCAGTGATAACTACCACATAAGGAAAAGGCAAGACTGAAGGCTGTTTCTCCCTGAGGACCAAGTATGGCTGCCTTCATAGACGCACCCCCAAAATAGTAAGAAATACCACCTTGCAAATTACAGCAAACAGGAAGGAAAGTCCCTTTGTAGCTTCTTCCGAGCCAGTAATTATTAAAGCCGCTTTCTCAGCCTTAACGAAAGCTTCACAACCAGTGACCCCGCCCATGAAATTAAATACCTGGTGATCAAGGTCAGTTTCCCCAAAGTGTAAAGAAATGTCGGATTTCCCCACCCCCACGTCCTTCTCATGTAACTATTGCTTACAAAAGGGATCCCACGTTTTTGCGTTTTTATGACCCTAGAGCCAGCATCCAGGAGCCCAGGGTCGTCTGCATCTTGCGTAGATAATTCACTGGGCTGTTGGGGGCGTTCAGTTCACGTTCAGCATCGTCAACCTCTGCAGAAGATGGCTCCTGAGAAAGTCCGGCCTCAGTCCTGCTACAGTGCAGCTGCCTTGTGGGTGGACTCCCCGGTAGTAGACATTTACCTATTGACTTGGACTGAGTGCCTTCTGTCGCTCCCCCTCTTCGTGGAGGAGCGACACTAAACCCTGCCTAGGTTTCCTATCCGAGTCACGGCACCATTATGTCGCTCCCCCTCTTCGTGGAGGAATGACACTAAACCCTAAGCTGTTCTTTTGTCTGCTCGGCCCTCCCCGGGTTTGCTGCTGGTCCTTCCCGGGTTGGCTGCCAATCCTTCCACCTCCGTGGAAGGGCGGCTCCCCCTGCCACTTTCCCCACTTCCGCGGGGGAGCGGCACACCGCCGGCCAGCTCTCTCGGGGGCTGCTCAGATGTTCCTCAAGTGTTCCTGGTGCATGTT